CCAATCGATGTCCTCATCTATAGTGACATCCATTCGCACAATACATATCTCGTCCTTAAACTGGCATTTATTGCTCAGATCTTGAGCTCCGGTACTGTTTGTGTCCAAAACACACGCATAGACTCGAAATCCCATTGAGTTTAATCGCAACGCCAATGCATTGCCGAAACCAGAATCGCAGCCTATTTTATGATAATAATTAATTTAACAAAATATATAGAAAATATAGTCTATATTAAAACAATTATATTATTAATATTTTATGTTAATAATTATAATAATAATATTTTTAACTAGAATTTTTAATTGTGATTATAACAATTTTAATAAATAATATTTATTTATAAATATTTAAATTCTTAATAAAAATTAAATAAAACAACAAGTTTAATTTACCTGTGATTATAACGGCTTTGTTTTTAGCACTTATATTTCGCCAAAACATTATTTACAAATGAAACTTTGTTTTATAACAATGTTTTAAGTTAATACAATATCATTATTTAAAACTTATTTAATGTTAAATAATTATTTGATTATTTTAAATTTTTAGTACAATTAATATATTATATATTTTACATTAAAAATTTAGTTTAGTTCAGTTTAATATAATATTTTACTCAATTATGAGAATATTAGTTTTAATAATTTTTAACCATAAATATATTTTAATAACCAAACAAGTTATTTTATAAACATACTTTAACTAGTTTTTAATGTGAATTTGTTTTATGTTTATGATAATATGCTAAATATTATAATTATGGAAATACCAATCGCAGTGTCCAAGGGCTTATTTAATCATTTCAAACACACAATGCCATATACTGTATATGATATACAGTACCAATCGTTTAGAGGGTGATTACATCATGATTGTATTTACTAGAACAAGTAGACGTTAGTGATATCGGCGATAGTCTGTATTTTTATATTGACTAATTTCAGTTGAAAAACTAACATAAATTTTAATAAGTAATAATTTTTAATGATTTGATTATAATTGCCATAATTTATCATATTGCTTAATAGCAATAATAATATTAATACTACACAAAAAGTACAGATTTAAATTATAAATAAACACAACACAACCCTTGGTAAAAGTGTAAATAAACTGAAATTAATATTTACACAAATTATATAATAAGGTAAATACTTTAATACTTTTTCGTATACGTAAATACTTTTTATATAAAACTACAATAAAAATAATTATTTGTATTCCTTGTATTTTTTGTAATATTATTTGTAAATATTCATTATTATAATTACTTAAATAATTATAAAATATTTGTAAGATAAGAAATAACCATCTCAAGATTTAGTTAAAAAACAACTTCTGAGATGTATTAACATTAATGTTTAACATCTGACCCGTTTGTCTCAGTCATAGCCACCGGTACCAGAGGGTTAATTGAGCAAAAATACGAGTCGATCATCCACTGTGGGGTTATGGCTACAAACCGAGCCGCTAGGCTAGGCATCAGGCCCTTTACGGGCCGGTAATACCTGGCCGGTCGGCGCCGGACAACTGCCGCCATCATATCGTTCACCACTATATCAATATCATCGCCGGCGTCGGCGGCCAGACCTCCACCGCCAGCAACGATGCGCAACACTTCGTCGATATAGGTCTGGCCGTAGATCTGTTGAATATCTGGGTCAGTACAGCTCCAGGAACTTTGTAATAGGGGGCAAGCGTTGTTAACCATGCTCGTTTTAAATACGCCAGGTTCAATCGTGGTGACCGAGATGTTGAACTTGCTCATTTCACGCCGTAATGAGTCCGAGAATGATATGATCGCCGCTTTTGTCATACAGTAGGCGCCGAGCATATCCGCCGCCACCCGACCCCCCAAACTGGCAGTTATTATTATACGACCTGTTGTTTATATGCAATTTAAACACTTTAGCTATATTGTACTTTAGCTATATTATTCTATTTATTTTAGTTAGTTGTTATAACAACTCTCTTTCTCTCTCTCTCTCTCTCTCTCTCTCTTTCACCCCCTCCCTCCCTCTTTCACCCCCTCCCTCCCTCTTTCACTCACTTACTTACCACATGATAATCTAAGAAGTGGTATGAATTTTCTGGTAACCCGTACAACTCCAATGACATTCACATTAAACAATGCGGTAAAATCATCAACAGTGCCCCACTTTGAGAATGCCTGCATTGTTGACCACTGACCACAACTTATAGTCACGGGTTTGCAGATCGGACTCAATTATATGAAAGCACCGGTCAATGTGATCGTCTCGGGTCACGTCCAGCTCCAGTACACACATCGCTGACTCGTGTTTGCATTTGGTCCGCAAGTCCTCAGCGCCTGACCCCTGAGGGTCCAGACATCCGGCGTATACGTGAAACCCGATCTCATTTAGCCGTATAGCTAACCGGTGACCAATCACCATAATATTTTTAATTTTACTTAACTAAAATAACAATGTAAATAAAATAATAAATGTAATATTATTTGTATTATAACATTATA